GCAAAAGATCCTTGCACTGTTTTGTTTCCGTGAATATACAAAGGCATCTACATCATTGAGCACAACTTTCTTTTCGACGGCCACTTGTAGACACGTTGTCCGCGCTTTAGTGAAGGAAACGGAAATGGCTGCAACACACGCTAATAGCCCTTTTGAAATATTCATACCATATCTCTTGGCGAAATTTTTCACTTTTTCATCAGTTTTATCATCGAAACAACTATTCAGTCGAAGAAATTTTCGGTTCTGTTTAAAGTCGTTCTGAAAGCCGTTTGACTTGTACAAATGCACGCGATTTCTTGCGTTTAGTTGCGTAACCCCTGTACTCTCAGGGGTGATGAGAAATCACCCCTGAGAGTATCGGGGTGGAATCTCCTCACACTTTCAATACACTGCCAAACGGGCAAGTAATGAGAAACTGAGAGTTATCAATCGCTGGAATTGTTTCTATACAACCCCAGATTTCAACACCAGCCAGTTAGGAAGCGCTTTGTCATTGGTTAGGAAAATCAGATCTAAGGAGTTGTATTGTGTGAGTGATTTAATAAAAAACACTTATTATGTACCAGAGGATAAGTCATAATAGACAGCAATTATTACAATGAACGCAACAACCAATCATTCAAGTCCGCAATTTCCATATCCGCGAAATGATCATACAAATACAACGTGCAAGAGCTTTCGTTCTGCAGTTGTTGAAAGCTAGAACTGATCTTCGTTGTTCGGTTTTTCCCCAAGGAAGATTCACTTTTGGTTTATCATGAATGCAAAGGAGACGAATCAGACAGAGAGTTTCCACAAATTACCTAGTGTATCAAGCGAGGAAAACAAGATTTCTCCCCCGAGAGAACCAGAGAAGCAAAGGCGCAAGAGAAATTCGTGTCCGTTGTCCTACGTCGAGGTAATTACTTATGCTATTCTAAGCTCGCCACGAGGGCAAAGAACCTTGTCTGAGATATATAGCTTCATCCAAGAACGCTTTCCTGAATTCACTGAAAACAGAGTACGATGGAAGAACACAGTCCGCCATAATCTTTCATTGCATGAATGTTTCCAGAGAGGCCAAGTTGCTCATAACAAGGGTGGGTGCTACTGGTAGATACATCCAAGATTCTTGGCTGACTTCATTCGAGGAGATTTTTCCCGACGCAAGATGACGCAAACTCCGTATCTTTTCGTGGATGGTAGGTATAGTTATCGTAGCGCTCCTAAGCTACTTTTTCCATTTCATTTGTCTGGCCAGTCCTCATCGTTTGAACCACATGTTGGAATGTTACACAGCTCTAGCTGGAATATGCGACCTCGATATGGACCTCGATATGGACAGCATGGACACTTTTTCTGAACACATTTAGTTCCAGAAAACCTTTGTATATATTTAGACGAACAAATAAACAGCCCTCGAAAAAAGGAAACCGTTAATTTGTCACATAAATAGAATAATTAGGTACAAAAAGATCATCTTTGATGGTTAAATGCACATATTTCAGTTGCCGGTTATTACAATAAAATATTATTAACATCAGTATGTGATGTTTAGTTCTCCTCTGATCGAAGTTCACTAGATCAGAAAACTGCGTCAACAGTGCTACATGAAAGATATATTCTATGCATAATGTGTTCAAGCGGAAACGCTGTCAAATTTGTTTGATACAAATTACGAAGTACGACACTTGATTCGCATCTGGATTATTTCAGATGCTGAAGGAAGTAGATTTGTGCGGCGTTTCATTTTGCCAGATTACTCAAAGCGACACTTCAAATAAGGATATCTACCTATACTGCAGAAACCAAATCCCTCTAGCATTTCACGTGATAAATACTGGTCCGTCTGGTGGATGACCGGATGTTGCGCTGTTGATTTGAGACATTCACGAATTTTGACTCTGTTACTGTTGAATTTGTAAATCGATCTTTATCTCTTGTTATACACACCCTTAATTCATGGAGATTACCTCACAAATGAATCTCGTGGTCTTAATACAAGGTTTAGACATTTGTTACTTCATTTCTATGATCGACATGATTTTTATTGTAACAAACTCGAACGAGGATTTCTTTCAAAAACAATGAGTATTTACACTGTGTAAATAAGCCTTGGAGGACTTGAATAGATTCCCAGCAAAGAAAAACGAAAAGACACGAACGATGCCTTCAACGAAAAGGGAATTAAAATATTATTAGTTTGGTAAGATGGAAACATCCAAGGAAAAAACTACAGAAAATTGCAAAGNGCAATTTTATCACTTCTATTTTACGCCTAGCGTTTACATATTTCCATATTTTATCGCCTTTATCATTCCCACGTCTTGAATTTAGTACATATATGTAAAAAATTTTCCTTTTCATCAGCTTGAAAATGACCTCAGCGAGGTCGAAACGTCGTTCAAAATTATTATCACTAATTTTTGTCTTAAAGCATTTCTTCACTTCGCTCTATGATTGATATACAAAACCAACTATTCACAGTTGAGTATGTTTCTTTGAAAAGTGGCCCATATCTAGTCGACCTTAAAGAAAAGTTTGAGTCAAGTGGCCCACACAGCCGGACTACTTCTCCCCCCTGGATGGAATGCTGGTCCATTACAAGGCTACACCCCCCCCCCATCAAAGTTTCCTGAAAATAAGCTGGTACCCATTCATACTCCTGAGCGGAAAGAAGCACTCTGAGAGCAGGAACACAATACAATAACCCAGCCAGGTCTCGAACCCAGATCTCTCGACCCGTAGTTAAGTGCACTAGACATTAGTAATACTCCATCGCGTGTTCCACACTTACAGCTTGTAACAGAATATAAATAAAAGATGAAAATTAAAGTATCCACCCACCACTCCGTTGAAGAATATTTCTTGTCTCCGACGACAACAACACTTTTAAACCATCTGTCTTCTTCCCTTTCAATCTATCAAAAAAGGAAAGAGTAAAGAGCTACGTAGGAAAGAATTTTAATTTTTGAAATAATGGAACTTATATATCGCAGAACGCACATTTACAGAACATTAAACCACTCCAACTCTTATTTTGTTGCGAGTAAAAATATCTGAGTAAAGAACTCTATGTAAAAGACACTTACGGTTTCATAGGTGGGCTGTTTGATACTGTTTCGCCTGGAGAAAGCATAAAAAAATTACTATTTTTACGGTTATCTTCGTCGTTGTAACTGTTGCTGCTATTGCTGTTAAAACACTGTATACAACATCTTCTACGACTACAACAAGCACAGAAAAAAATAACAACAATTAATGCTTAAAAAACTGGCAAAGATTGGTGCATTTTATTGCTATATGAAATCCAACATGGCCTTGAATGAAGAAAACCCGAACTGAACATGTGCCAGTCAGGGTTCAAATAAAACGTTCACGTTGTGGCACAGTTATAGATTTGATTCCGCTATCCTTTGGACACGCCTGCTGAACCTCTGAGCCCCTTAACATAATTTACAGAGATAAATGCCAAATACAATGCTAACCTTGACCACTCCAGAAGGATCCCTTTAGGTGTGACACCACCTGTGTATAATTTTCTACAAAAAAAAAACAAAACTAGATTTTGAGATGAACATGAATATTGACAGATCAAGAGAGCACTTGTCAACCAAGAGTCGGGAGTAATCTGAGAATGCACCTGTTCTACGCTGTGATCTGAAAAATCCTGCGCCACCCGCTGAATCAGTCAGATGCGAGATTAAACTCAATCGTGTTAATGTTAGGTTTCCTGTGCACTAAGCCCAGTCTCTGCCGAAGTTTTGTCATTCGACGCTAGATCAAACCTCTGCGCAAATGTGTTGATATCGCTTGTTGTTTTCGCCTTAATAATATACATGAAAAAATTTCTCAGTTCTGATTGGTTAAGATGAAGACAGTTTTCAGTTAATTCAGTGCAGAAGAGAGTTAATTCAGTGCACAGAAAGAAACAAACCAGACATTCTGATTGGTCAGAATGATTAGTCAATGTCAATGTCAAGGTCAATGTCAAGGTCAATGTCAAGGTCAATGTCANTCAGAACTGAGAAATTTTTTCATGTATATTATTAGTCTTTGAAAAAATTTACTCGTGCTTATTTATTCCAAATTGCACTCGAAATCATGTGATTACCTTTACTAATTTTTCACATGAGGATCGTATTGTGTTCGAACGGTGTGGCGAGCGTAGTTGAGCGGATCGAATAAAACTTGGAATTGTCACTGATTTGACGGCTGTTACAAATGGAGAGCTGTTCGCCTGCAATTCTCCGCGCTTTGGGCAGTTTTCTAAAGTTATTTTTACTTTTAGTTCTCCTAGGCTCTCTCTTTAATATCATCTCGTTCTGATTAGTTGTTACTGTTTTGGTTTTATTGCACACCACTGCAATGCGCTCAGCTTTGGACTTCGGATTAGTATTCGCCGCAATTGAAATTTTAAAACGAGTGAGAAGCTCAAAGATAAGCTATCTTTGAAATTTGAACCATGTACACCAACCACTTTAAAGAATCGATGCCTTTTATTAATTTTTTTTAAAGAAAGTATGGCTCGTTAGCGGCTTTGTCGTCATCACTTAATGTCTACACGAAAGTCGTTACAAAAAAAGTAACAGATTACTCTGTTCAACTTTTTTTTTACTCCCAGGTATCAAGATGTCGTAGCTCAGGTATAGATGAACCAGCTGTAAACAGCACGATCTAATCGCTCATTACAGATACATCAATTTACTGAGAAGGGTCCACATTTTAAGAATTAATTTGGAATGCAAACGTTGTTTTTCCATTCAAAAATAAAAAGACAACGACACAAAATCACACAGTCCTATTGCTAACCTGAGATACTTGACTTTCATTTCAGTTATTTCACTTGAAAGGTTCGAGCGTTTTCGTTTCCTCTTCTCATTCTACGTTCAAAAAAATTCAAAAAGAAATAAAATACGTATGAACAAAATTGGAATCACTCAACCAAAACCTTACAAGGAGTAATTCATCTGATGTTGTTTATTTTGGTTTAAAATTACATGTAATCACAAGCTGGTTATTGGCACTGAGCATATGTTTTCATGAACAATAGCTTCAGCTGCTGTTTTTGTTGTCAGACGTTGTCAGACTTTTCAACCTCGCAAAAGGCGAATGAAATCACTGATTGGCCACCTTTGTGTTGATTTGCTTGCTTGGTAGTCTGTCTAACCTCGTTATCTTTCATGGTTTCCATTTTATGAGTCCTCCTCTGAACAGCATCTTCATAGTACGAAGTAAGATTCCATATTTCGCTGAGAAAGTTTGTAACGAAATTTGGGGATAAATTAGGAGGTCTTCTCGATGATGTGAGAAAAATCATTTTCTTTCATAGACCAAATGATAGGTTTTCCCTACGCCTTAGAAATTTTGTCCATTTATCTCTCGGTTGAGATAGGGAAAAGTAATCGAAAGAAATATACCATATTCATTTTTGTTTGATTCTACTTCAATGTGTTAACTGAGACACAAGCAAAAAGAACCACAAGCTCAGTACAAGTCAGCTAATACAGAAGTTGGTTAACACTCCAAATCAAGTTCGGCGTGCCGTGTCGTAAATTATTCCCTTTCAATCTTTTTCAGTGTGCTATCATTGTTCCTTCATGGTTTATTATTACCTCGTTTGTGTTTTCTCTCTCACCGAAATAGTATTTTGTGTCATGCTTCGCGTTTAAGGTTGTACTGCACGTCGCAAGATTGACCTTAAAACTACCAAGCCCTTCCAAACAGTATCACTTAAATTGATTTTGTCTTTCTTCAACATGTTAAAACTTCTTCATATAAATGTAATTTTTGTCAACTTTTCATATACTGGTGGAGGATTTTCCTTTTGATGCTATGCAAAAGCTGAGCAAAACTACACACCTTACTTTAGAAATTCTTCTATACTTACCAGATTTCTAGCATTTATTTAGCATGTAAAAGCTGAAGAGCCTCTGTAGACGTTGTATCTTCATGCAACAGCCGCTGTAGGCAGTATTTTGTATTCCCAAAGTTATTGTCAAAGTTTATAGCCTAAAAAAATAGACAATATAAATATCCGGTAGGTAAATGTAGACCCTTTTCATCCCTCTCTCTCCCTATCGGCTGCTCGTGTAGCTACGTATCACCTTAACAAGTACTGAACTTGCTAAATTCCACTCACTGGATAAGTCGGAAAGGACCATGGGTTACTGAACTAGTTTTACGAGAAAATGGCGATATACTTCTCTATCAAGTAGGCTACGGTTTAGTGGAGAAAACAGCCGCATGTTAAAGTGCATACAGAGAGGATGCCCAATGTAAACACTTAATAGTAAGAAATGGCTTTGTAAGAGTAGGAATGGCCTGTATAAAATATTATTACGTCCTTTGACTGAGAATTTATACTGTCCACATTATTTATCTATGACAACACGTGTTTTTTAATCAAACCAAAACAGCACGAACTTGAATAAGAATTGCCAAACTACTGCAGAAACATGGAGGGACATGGGACTGGCCTCGGTTTAAAACCAAGAATAAAGTATCTAAAAAGAGGAAAGAGAATTTGATTTTTTGAATCATTACCAGTTTTATGTACTCTGTTATCACTTCTGATGCAGATAAGCGACCCTCTTTCCTGTGGAGAAACCAGAATAACCAGGTCAGTACATTAATAAAACATATGCACTTTTTCTTCACAACGCCAATCCTGACCCACACGCGGTAAAGGGCTGTGTTTGCGGTACGGTATAATTCATGCGGAATACCAGGGGGATGACGCCAGGAAATAAATCAACTAACAATACCGCCGTAGTATAAATCAAGCCTAAATTCTACCAGCTGAAAGGACAACTAAGAAGTACTAGGTGTACTAGAAACGAGTTTCGGGGTCGTGTGGAAATTGTCGGCTAGCTATTCCAATATGGCGGAATATTCCAATAACACATTTAATACACCTCGGTTTTCCTTTAAGCCGGTAGGATTTAGGCATAATTCATTCCCTGTTAATTCTTGTCTTGAAATAATATACAGTTCATAATCTCTTGCCTGACGTCATTCCACAGGAATCATATTCCGCAAACTCATTCCTCCCTTTACCCACACCCCATGTAGGAGTAGGGACAAGAAGTAAATGAGTCATTCGCGTTTGCGCAAGTAAAAACGTTCACACATTTAAGCACAAAACAAAGAAATAATTCCCAAGCTACATATTTACTGGTCAATTGCAAAAATAGTAATTTAAATTAATGACAAAAGAGAAAAAAAAAGAGAAATCTTGGGGAACTTTACCTAAAAATTGAAGGATTCCATTGAGCGGCTCTTGCCAACATGACTGAGGAACAACCAGTCTCCTGACGGTATTTTTCAATATCTTTGTACGTATTTATCATTAGCGACACACCATTTGCAATTACAGGAATAGAGACAGCCTTGGCAACTTCACGTATGACATTAATGTGGACTGGATCTCGTGAACGCTCGTGCTTTTCCCTAAAAACAAATATCAATGAAATCATGAACGACGATAGTCTACGACTATTCAGCATATCGTTCTGCAACAAGGGTTCCTTTTTTAATAATTTCCCTTTGCTTAGCTTTGCATTTTTTTTTTCTATTTTCAATGAATCCCCCGTGTAGTAAAATCATGAAGTAATAGAAGTGCGTCAAAAAATTTTATCAAAAGCGCTGTATACATTACGGGATGCCTTCAATTCAGGAACTCGACCTACGTTTCTTGCGACATGAGCAACAACCTCAAAATGTTCGTGTTGTTCTATTCCTGCATATCTGTAGAAAACGTACTGTACCTTCCATGAACAGCCAGAGCGACGATACCGGTTTCCTCCACCATTTTAGCAAAAGCAATTGTTTCTTCAACCTACTAAGAATGAGAAATCAAGAACCCGAAAAAAAAAAAAAAAACGCGATAGACAGCAGCATAACTACAAAATCACTCTTCACAAGTCCTTTAAATTCGGGATTCTCGCTTTTGGCATTACTATCGGGTCAATTAGTAGTTACTGGACGGGGCCAAACTATCGTAATTTTCTTCAAGGGTAAGCAGAACAGTTATGGAAGCTCAAATTTTACAGTCAGTCACACTCACTCAAAATTAGAAACACCGAAATCAAAAGTTAACCTCGACGTAACAAAACCTAAGGACCTCTGGGCTCTACGATAACTTTGGGTTTGGTTCCACAGAGGTCAATAAAAACAGCACTCTTTGGGTACAAAAAGCGGTAAAAGTGAAGAACAGTTCCCAAAAGATATTGTCGGCCGACTGTTGTACAATCAAGGATATAAGAAATAAGTACATGCACTAAATTTACTATAACACTGTCAGCCAACTATTGGTAGTGGGTCGGCCGACAGTTGACCGACGAGTTACCGACAGCCGAAAATAAGAACCATTGTTCACTATTACCCCAGAAGCAATATACAGCTGTATAATTCTCTTGATTTTACTTACAGTGGGTAAAATCCTTATTTTACATGTCACTGGCTTTGACACTCCCTGCACAAGCGTTGTGAGAATCTGTCAAAATAAACAACCAGTAAAAAGACATGTTAGTTAACCCTTTAAGCCCTAACACCTAATAGAAGAATGCAGAATATTTAAATAATTGAATTTAAGGCTTTGCATGGACTTGTTCCCTAATATATTTCTAAGTTATTTTAATTACGCAATTGTAGCATTAATTTGCGGGGCGACAATATTCTTACTGTAATTAGAGTAAACACCACCACATTTTCCATAATGAAATTTGACATTGACTGTTGTACCTTTTGTAGTAAATAATATTTTAAATTTTTAACTTACTAGTCATATTTAAATTTATTTATACATATATATATTATTTAATTTTCTTTTATTGTATTATTGTATTTTAGTAATTTCAATATCTTTACTTGGAGATATTAGCAAGCATTTGCTCTTTAATTCAAGTTTAAATAAAGTCATGGTATTGTATATTGTATTGTATAACATCAGTCTCCATATTCTCCATACTGTTCTCTACACATTTCCTAAGGTGCTGACAAGGAGAATTTGTTTTACAATCAAGAGTTTCTTTAGTTGCTGATCATTTCCTTTATTCTCCTGACCTTAATGTGTGATTCAGGTCTGATATTGTAAGGAGAAATTAGATGCTAGTCACTATTAGGGGTCAAAGCCTTGAAGATCAATAGTTCTGTGTAATGAGATCATACCCACTATAAATGTAATAAGTAAAATTCATTAGTATAGCTAACCTTGCGCACAGTGTCTGGTTGAGTCAATAATGCTGCACCCATTCCCCCCTGCAAAGACACAGAAACAGACCAAATCAGGAGCAAATTTGCAAAGCTCAGCAATCCAGCTATCAACTGTATGTTCATGTAGCAAACAATTTTGTTGCAAAAATTTAATTTGAAATAGGGTGGGAGGAAACCTCAACTGCAGCAAATTTCAGTCAGCTATTAAACATGTATTCAAATGAATGAAGGGCGGTAAGTTTCTAAAGATGCTGTGGTGCTGCATCGGTTGGGGGTATAATAAGACTATTGGGTTTTATCAACCGAGTTGTTGATGAAAATAGGCCACAGTTAAAAGTTTTGAAAGCGAACGTTTTAAGTGTTAGCCCCTCATTATTTACTACGACAAATCACTGGCACTTGAAACATCAGCATTAGATACTCGTTATGATGGCCAATTTACATGTATATTAATAACTCAGTTGATAAAACCAAATTATCATAGATGTATCAAATTCAAAGATGGTTTTCCTTCACTTACCTTGCAAGAATAATCTTTTGGACAACCCATGTTCACATCAATTCCAGCAACATCATTTTCTCTACCAGGAGTAACAGAAAATAAATTAAGTGAAACAATTACAATTGATGCACTTATGTAGCAAAATCTCCATTTCAATGTGCTCTGAAGCACTTAACAACAATTAGCAGGGAACTTTGACCAGACTGTACTTAGTAGTTTACAAGTTTTGAAAGGAAATTTTGCAGGTGCCCCTAATTTGAGAAATTTTGTAAACAAAGTCAGACTACAATTTAACCGAGAGCTATGTTCCTGCCTCCCGGTTAGCTCAATGGATAGAGCACTGGACTGATGTGCGGGAGGTCGAGCGTTTGAGCCCCGGCTGGACCAACACTCAAGGTCTTAAAATAATTGAGAAGAATATGCTGCCTTTCTATAACATCAAGAAATGGTTTAGATATTCTAGTCTTCTCAGATAGGGACGAATAAATGGAGGTCCCATCTCATGCAGGGTTAGGGGTAGGAGACGTTAATTTCCCATGCACGAGATTACTGTGTGATGGATGTCCTCCCCTGGGGTGGGATGGGTGGGTTGTTGTCTTGCGTTTCATACATGAGCCTCTGGCTCAGGCAATATGGGTAACCATGCCCCACATTAAGACATTAAACTTTGATTACTTTGATTACTATTCCCTACTTACAGCTTTGCAAGAAGTGCATGAGTTCTTAAATGTCCCCAGCAAACCAGTACACAGAAGATGCAGCAAATGGGGCCTACAGTTTATCATTATTATCCGAGAAGACTAGCACATCTAACCATCTGCAGATGGCATGGGAAAGGTACAGAGTAGCACAGTCTTCTCAGTTATTTGTCACTATTAGATCACCAAGGCTACGGTAATTTAACGAACAGCATTTTTTAATTTAAAATCTTTGTCTTGTAATTTAAATAAGCAAACCATCGAAAAATGACTTACAGGAGTTTTGCAACTTTCAAGGCTCTCTCTGAGTCTGCTGTACCCTAAATAACACAAAATGTGTTAGTAACAGTTTCTACAAGAGCAAGTTATGCAAATTAAATAAACAGAATGAAAAAGTATCACAAGGCAGCTAGTTATATAATAGTACTTATCAAATTTTCAATTTTAAAAGGCACAGTTTACAATTGCTTGTGTGTGTAGTGGAACAGTGCCGATCCTTGTTTCTGCATACACCAAATCAGAATATGGTATCCAATTTGAATTGCCACTGTTCTGGACTCACTAGCCTCTCACACATGTGATAATCCTTTACTGTGTCCAATTGTGAAGATGAGGCTAGTGAGTCCAGAACAATGGTAATTAAAAGTGGATACCATATTCTGACTCGGTTTATTGCACAAGGGTACAAGGGGTATTGCCACTCTCACCAGATAGGCTCCTCATCCATTGTTAGCCCCAAGAATTTTATCTGGTTTCTCTTACAGTATGTGCAGATTTGCTGGATTAACAGTAAACATGCTGGGTCCAGTAGTTCGAAGGCCGATTAGCACTAACCCAGGTCCAAATTTTAATCCAGATTTCCTTATTTCTCTATTCAAGAACCTTTTTGGGATAATCTTCCCTATTCTTTAGGGAGCATTCGATCATCAAATTGTAGACAAAAATAGTTAAAGCTCTTAAAGCTTTCAGATCTGAAATCAAATTTCACGCTAACCCTGGGTTATCTTAACCCAGCTTTGAACAACCCGGCCATGGACTGCAGGTCAAGAGGTCTCAGGGTGTAAGATGTAGCTGAGTCATTACTCTCACAGAGCCTTTCTCTAGTCAGGAATATAACTAGGTACACACATGCTATCATGAAACATTGAAGAAATGCTTGGGAACTACACGTAGCATCACATCCAAGGGGAGTGGAGATATTTCTAGTTACTTTACACCACAGAAACTACAATCGGTTCTAGCCAAATGGGCCACTGGCTTGAGTGCAGCCTTAACCTTTTTTTTAAACTTTTCCTTGACAGTATGCAGACAACCCAAGTATACTCCTCAGTGGAAGGAGACACTGTGAGAGTAAACTGAGACCTAAGCAAGACTCGCATCCACTGACTCACCGATCCAGAGTCCAGTTTACTTTATCTTTAGAAGCTGTAGCGTTTGCGGTGACCAAAACTCTAAATTCTCAAGTTCAAGGGGGTGTCGTTCCAAAACGCGGTTAACGAGGTGTTTGGGACTATTTTACTGATCGAAATGACAAACCAAAGTTGACCATTTGCACGAATCTTTATTCTTGAAAGGCAATCGGCCACGAATCACAATCAATGATGAAAATAACAATTATTCTCAAAATAAATCAATCTATTGATCGTAAACTGAAATAACAATACAACGAAGTTTTATCAATCCAATGAAAAGCTGCGGAATACATAATCAAAGAATCACGTGTCAAATACTGGGCTCTAACATCGATAACAAGATTAACAATACATTCAAATAAAACAGAACATCTATTTGTATCAATTTATTCTGGGCATAAAGATATTTGTTTTGTGTAAACAGTTCTCTCCCTGCCATACCATATTTTTTAACATTACTCAGGTATTTAGAAGGCCGTACAAACCATTTGAAAGACAACCCGTTGTTTCTCTACGTCGCATGTCCTGAACACAACTGTTCCATCAGTGAGCACAAAGTCAACTGTGCCCAAAAGTTCTGAAAGAAAATAATTATTCAGGTATTAAACTAAGTAATACATGTTCAACAAAGCCATAACCTAATACATTTCACACAAAAGCTCTCTTCTTAGAATTTGAGGTTTGGCCCCTTTTAGAGTTTGGATATGTAGACTTGCATTTATGGCTGGTAAAAAATAGAAATAATTTATTTGATTCAGTTTTTTGGTTGTCCCTTTAACTTCCAAAAATGTTTAACATGTAACATGTCCTTATAATATTTGTACAATATCCAGCAAACAGGTAATAAGAATATGTAACCTTATCAGGTTAAAATTGTTTTCCTGATCTAAAACCAAATTCTCATAACTAATTTAGAAGGAAACTGTCAGTGGTAACTACTAGATGGGAGAATTAACAATCAGATCTTTGGGGTTACAGGGTTAAAAACCATTCAGTATCACTAGAGAAATAATAAGCTCATCTGTGTAATATGTACATGTAACACGTGGATAAATGTGGGTAACTGCACATCACTGGTGATTTGAATGTGGAATGTATCATGCAGCTCAAAGAAAAGTGAAAATTGTTCTTCTTTCCAAAGATCAGAGAAAAGCACAAACTGCCAACAGCAAAAAACAGATGGTAACTGTAATTCAGATGAAAACAATTTGTTTACTACACATGATCACTTACTGTTTTCAATTCGGGTTGTCTTGAGAATTTTGAAGTCAATTATTTCCTAAAAGAGGTGAAAGAAAACTTTGAAAGCTTAATGTCTAATTTACCTTCTGGATAGATTTCAATCATTGGCAGAGTTCAAACCATAAAAATACTCTGAACTTTCCCAATCAAAATTAAAAAAATCAGAAACCTGCACTGTACATGTACCCTGACCCAGCCAGTCTTGATATCTACTCAGCCATCCTTAACAGTTCAGCCAAGTATTCCATGTTTTTGAACAAACTGGTCTAGTTTATAACTACAGACACTGTATTCTGATTAGCCACATACTGATTAGCCTAAAAACCAACCTTTTAAGAAAGGTCCATTAATTAAAAAAAAAAATGATTATCAAACAAGATTGTAAAAGGACATTGTAAAAGCTCTCTTAGCCCTCTGATCCCTAAGAGTGACTAACATCTAATTTCTCCTTACAATATCACCCCTGAATCACATATTAGGATCACGAGATAAAAAGAAATGATCACCAATTAAAGCTCTTTATTTTTAAATAAATTCTCCTTGAAAGCACCTTAAGTAAGAAATATATAAAGAAATTATTATGGAAAATATGCATACTAATGTTAGGGTGTAAAGTGTTCATGAATAGATCATTCAGGAGGGAAATTTTTGACCTATGTTAAGTAGTGTCTGACTATCACATGACCTGCCTCACCTAAGCCACTCAGAGCTCTTCCTGGTTTGAATAACCAACAGTGACCCAGAGTACTGCTTCATTTATTACTGGTTATGAATACATAACCCTTTCTAAAATCTGGGGGTTAGAAACTTCTCATCCATTCTCAAGATGTCATCAGTCTTAATTTGCAACAAGTTTCCAAGTCTCCTTGTTTCGGAGTACAATTCATTTGTCTTAAAGCCACACATGTCTTTCAAAGTTCTCAAAGTCCAGGATTTGTTCACTACAGCCATTTATCTCAATCAAGGGTAGCTAGACTAGCTTCGAGTTGTGATTGGGAACAATGGAAGTCTGAGTGAGATCACTGTTGTTTGAAAAAATCTCGATCTGGAAGCTACTACACAGCATAAATGAATGCCAAATTAAAGAGAGCATTAAAAGTTAAATTCCTTTTCCTGTCGTGAACAGCACCTTGCAATAATCAGAGCAAAGCAGTCAGGACTGGTAAAGATAACTTTCACACAAGGGTTTTAGCATCTCCCAATTCTTGAATTTTACCATTAGTCACCCCTTCTAAAGGATCAGATATTAGTCCTTTATAGGTTACCACATAGCAGTTTATTCCAATTCTTGTGGTAACTGATAGCCACTCACTGGTCACATCACTCCCAGGTAGAGAGGTAAGTGTTTAAAAGTAAACTCTCATGCTGGAGAAGGTAATGAAGGAATGGGGGGGAGGGGGGTAGAGGGGTACCTAATCCTGTTTCACACACAAATTGTAGAAAAATTATATATTATGTATGCTTTATACAGCATTCTACATGTCACATTTCAGGGAGAAAGCAAACACTTTTCATGTCTCTTTTCATGCCTGAGTTTTCAGAGAAATCTTGAGATTTTGTTTAGGAGGAAAATCACACAATCTAAGTTTACTTTTGGCCTTGGTCATGCATCATGCACAACCCCTTTTCCACTCTCTGAGAACATGACATGCTGATCTCACCTAGACCCAAAGTCAGATTTTGCAAATCATGTAAATTCAAATTTTCATTTACCAACCACTATGCCACCATGTCTCTCACATGCATAAGTAGAAAGCTCTAAGGTATTCACAGCACACTTACCTCAGCATAAACAATATCAGCTCCATATTTCAGAGCAAGGAGTCGCATTGGCAGAGTACCAACTCTAACCATTGGTGCCAGTATAGCTTTCCCTTTGTAACAAAGGCTCATCTCTCTTTTACTGATTCTGTTGTCGTCCTGTAATAATCATTTTTTAAAAAAGTAGTTTTGAAATCTGTTTTGATGATCTCCAAGGTGAGCAAGGCTCATAACGATCCTAGCAGTATGCAGAACGCATGTCATTGTAATGGGCCTTGCTCACCATGGAGTCCCTGCGTGGCTTAGTATCTGAAGATCTGAGGTTCATTTCCTTATGAGGTTGTCCCACGCATTTAAAGAGAAATTTAAAATTGAAATTGGAATTCGGTAACATCTCACTATAGAAGGACTGGTAACATAATCAAATGCACAAAAGGGTGTTTCGATCGGCGCCGTCTGCACTTTCTAAAAATAATCCATTTTGGTGTGTTTAAAATTACAAGCGATAAAAAAAAATTAGGCGACTTGAATTTTTTTTCAGGGAGACATGACTTAAATTTCGGGCGATATGACTCAGGTTCCAGGTAACGTGACTTCTGGCGAGATGACTTCCGGGCGACTTGACGGTAGACCCAACTTCAACATCAAACTTACCCGTAAGCTTTGATAAAGCACTGTTAGGGACTTGTGCACTCTGAAGAACAAATACCCACCATTTGAAATAGCTTTCTCTCGGATTCACATTTCGTGTTTCAAGGGAAAAATATTCTGGTTATTAATCCATTAGAAAACGTATACTTTGCATCGAAAACCATAAAACAAAATGATTCGGAAACTCTCCTCTTTGTTCGCCATCTTGAGTTCACTCTACCCCAGTCTTCCCTTCGAAAACTATGACGCGCGGTGAGTAACGAGAGCGAGTATCCCACCATTCCTCGGTAGTTTATGTTCATATGTTTATGTTTATATCTTATTAGACGTTTTGTTGTGTAGTATCACTGAGTATTTTTACGAGTTGTGCCGTATTTTGACGAGCCCGTAAATACAAACAATGAGTAAAAATACTTAGTGATGCTACACAACGAAACGTCTAGTAAGAGATTTTTTATCCAACACGCCAAATTGTTATTTCAGTGCGGGCGAATTTCGCGGAAATTTCTGGAGTACAAATATCGCGTGATATTTTTACTCATATCGCGCGTTATTTGTACCCTACGAGGCACAGTTGGATAATAAATGAAGTTATTAGTTTACCTTCAGCCTAAAAGAGATCTAAGGATCTTCAGTTTTGGGTCAGATACATATAACTTAACCTGCGATGAAGACTCCTTTTTTTTTTTCTCTAGGGAGCGCGAAAGTCGATCTGGCAGCCGCTCGGATCTTGTTTATCTAAAATGTTTTGGCTTTCGCGATCTGGAATACGCAGCTTATGACCGTTTCTGTGGAAAAGGTCCGTATGGAAAAGCCCAACCAAGTAGAAACCAATCAGAACGCTAGGATTTACCTCAGGACCACTTTGCCATCTAATGCTAGCTTTTACTGAAAAGCATCCTCAACATCGTTCCCATGGCCCTTTCCCGCCCCAAAAACAAAAATTATGCTGTGGTCGATCAGTTTTAGGACAAAATTTAATGTAACGCCTTAAATCTAACAGAGCCCAGTTCAGTGGTATATAAATTTTATATTAATAATATGGTTCGCAGTCAGCTTCTTAATTTTGTAATAATTCTAAACTTCGCAATCAGCTTCTTAATTTGTAAAAATTTTAAAGTTCGCAATCAGCTTCTTACTCAAAATTTTTTTTGTTGAAAAAAAAAAAAAAAACTATAGGTACTTCCACCTCATCAAAAGGATTCTCCCTTTAACACAGATTAGTGAATGCTATTTCTTCGTGAAGTTCCCCTCGACCACAGAGTAAATAGGGACCTTATATTAAGCAGCCACGACGGCAACGGCAAGGAGGTCGTGGAAAAACAACAGATCTAATTGGCAGAACAATAGCTCAGCACGTGTGTTTTGAAAGTTTGTACATTTCTTAGCCGTCCTATGCAAAACAACAACGTGAAATCGCCAAAATTTGCGTCGTCTGCGAACCGAAACCGCGACGGCAAATTATTTTAATTTCCATTTGGAACTCAACGCTACTTCTATACGTCATGCTGAAGTTCAGCTGTGGCGCCGTATGAGACAGTAAGCTCATGCAGGCATTTTTGAAATTCTGACTATGAGTAGAAATTCATTTTATAATCGAAGTCTTCCTTGGCGTTGCCGTCCTGACTGCTTAAGGTCCCTAATAGCAGGCCGGCTCTGGTCCCGACAGATATCGAACTAAGTAATCTGCTTGACTAACTTTTGTATTTGACGAGATAAAAAAAAAATAGCAAAAGTTGTGAACCGATCTGTACAGCCAGATAACATCTGGAGTGCTCGGGGCGCTATAAAATATTCTGTAAGATTCTAGCTGATTTCCTTGCAAAAGAAGAAAGCAGAATGTAAACCTTATTGAACTATATCCCAGTGCTAGTAAACGTCTTTTCATCGCATACACGTGATCATAGAGATTTGCTTGAAATTTCAAGTAATTTTAACCTTGAAAAAAATTTCGGACTATAAATACATAAGACGAAATGGAGAGTTGCTTGAAAAACTGAAAAAAATATTTGACATTTTTTTTATTTGACTAAATTATTACTTAAAGAAAACTCATTTGAAATTGGTTTGGTTTGAAACAAATTCCTTTCAGAAAAAGAAATTATTAAAATTTCCTTGCATGGATACCTAGCTACTAAGAATTTGACGGAAAAGACGGCATCTGAAGTTTGTTCATTGCTTATATTTCTTGAATAGCTCGCTATGAACTGTCCTGTTCCAGATCATTACACGAAGATGTCGATGAACCTTTCTTGACAAATGCACATGTCTTTCTGAATGCATATCAGTCCTGTCTTTTGCAGATGGCGCCCTCCTACCGCAGATTTTCGAGCTTTGTTAATCCATCACATTCCTTTAAAATCAGTCTATTCTACTCATACCTCTCAGGGTGTTGATGACCCTGGCCATTTTCCAAAATCAAAGGTCACGTTGTCCCCAATCAGCACAAAAGTGGCCCATTGAGTAACTTCGTCAAAGCCGTTATTTCTCATCCACATTCTGGCTTCGTGCAGAGACTCACTAGCACTTTGACCATGAAACAAATGCTCGTAGAAGCGAGTCATGAACTGTTCTGTGGCTTCGTCCTCTAGAGCCCACCGTGCCGCTAAAACTGAACGAGCACCGGATCCAAGAAACGCACGAGCGATTCCAATAACTCCCTCGGTTTTAACCTGTCCACGAGCACTGTGACAGCAGCTTAGAACCACCAGCTTGGCGTGCAGCTGAGTTTTTGAAATGTCCTCCATCGTTAAAAGGTAACTTTCTTCTCGGGGGGGAACATGGTTGGTTGCATACTCGGGGGAAAGAACAATCTCTCCACGTTCGACAAAACCATGAGCAGCAAAATGTATTAGGCCCGCGGAGTTTATTGCTTGCAGTACAGTCTGCTTTTTTGCGCGGTCTCCAATCAAAGGCGTCACACCAAGGAGTTTTCCAATCATCTCTGCCTCTTTTCTCGCGTATGGCAATGGTCTTATTTCCTTGCGTCTATCTTTGTACATTACCACGCCCACCTTGGGGTCACCCACTATCAAAGCACCCGTTTGACTGTGGTAGTCTGGAGGACTGTCCTGAATGAGCTTCAAAGTCGTCAAAGAGGGAACGATGCGGATCCTGAACGTCGATGATAAACGTTTTCCTTCTTGGTCAGTTAAGGCTGCAAATGGAACTTGGTACATACAAGAATCGGGGACAATGATGATTTCTGGCTGCTTCAGTAGATGGGCCACTGGAGCGATGATTATGTTGTAAAAGAAGAGAAGATTCTTTTCAGTGATATCTTTGGCAGGGTCGCCGAAGCTTTTTCTTAAAAACTCGTCCAGGTCAGGTACTAATTCGGGAACCACGTCTGTGTGCAAGCTCACTTTCTTTCTTGAGAAACGAACCACTCCCGTTGCTTTTTTAATCCAAAACCGTACATCTCCTTTTGCAACTGAGGTGTACAGGCAGGTACACTCAGTCTCCTTGATAATCTTTTGAATACCACACCATGAATGTGGATTGCCTGAGATCTGGATTTCAGCAGAGTATCGAGCTGCCATCAAGTCGGCTAAGCCTCTTGCCCGCATCAGCTCTTCAACATAAAGAGCATCTTGTGGCTTCCCGGTGGCACAAAGCAAATTGCTGAGCAACTTGAAGGGGAAAGTGCCGTGCCTCTCTAAAAGAGATGTTTTGAACCGATCGGTATCTTTAAGAAAACCACGCAAAGTATCGAATTTTTCAATGCTCTGATAAAGATAGAGAAAGGCTTCTTCGGGATTACATTGTGATAACTTCAACACTGTTAGATTACAAAGGATCTGAAACACTTCCAGGTTGAGTCCAATATCCTTGCTCAAAGAGAGTGCCTTTTGATAATAATCTTCAGCCACGTCATATTTACTAAGCGAATAAGAACATGCTGCTAAATCTGCGTAAGAAAGTGCTTCTCCTTTTCTTTCACCAATTTCCGTATGGATCACAAGTGATTCCTTGTAACATTCTTGAGCCTTGTCATACAGACCAGACTGACAGGAAATATCTCCGAGGAAGCCGTAATCTGCTGCTTCTCCTGGTTTGTCACCGATTTCTATTCTAATTGCCCGTGCTTTCTCCAGATAGTCGTCCGCCCTTGGAAATTTACCGCGGGACAAAAACAAA